TTTGATACAAATATTAATTTCAGTTATATTTACATGCAAAAAGGGGTGTGGGGCAGGCGTGTGCTTTTTTAAAGTTTTTTAATTTTTCAAAAATGTTTTACCAAATTTATACGTTTGACATGTTGTGTAATAATAATACTATATATATGGTTTAAGATGACATTGCCTAAAAATCTGTTGAAGTTTCCAAACTTAACTAAAATTTAAATTTAACTCGTATTTGCCTAACAAAAAATATGTGTTCGCATGGGTTGCATTCAGACTGGATTAAAATACTAACATTTTAGTTTTGGAAAAATGTTTTAGTTAATTTATAAAGATGATTGAATATACATATATATATATATATATATATATATATATATAAATATATATATATATATAAATGTGTGTATATATAATTTCCGATCGAGCCAAATGCATTTCTGCATAAACAAACAGAATCGATGCAGAATCTTTTGGCAATAAACATTTTCCCATATGAACTTGATCATGAAACTTTTACAAAATCCAAAATTAGATAAATTTTCGTGTAAACAGGAAGAAATCCTGTTCTAAAATTAAATTTGAGACATGCTAAATATTTCCATTAATCTATAACGATAATAAATATCAAAATTATCTATTAATTAGTTTAATATTCAAAAATTATACTTGAAAGAAACTTAAATAATAATGCTAGTTTAGATATTAGAATCAAATACTGACGTAGATATTAGAAATAGAATTATTGCAACTTAAAAGCAAAAACTAGTGGTGTATGGCATCGTGCCTTAAGGCAAATTGCTGGAACTTTCTGTACCGTAATGAAATATTCGAGAAACTTTAAACGTTTTCAAATATATTATTACAAATATTGTAACTTTCATTATTTTAGCTATCTTGTTATATCTGAGCAAATCAAATGTAAATCATAAATAAATCAATTTATCTCCAGAACATTAACAATCGTCATTTCGAATTTCGAATTCAATTTCAAAAAAAAAAATAGTTGCCTAATTTGCACAAAATTAAAAAAGTGCTGCCGTCTAAAGTTTAGTCACAGTCTAAACGCATTTTCAAATAATTCTGTGCGACATTTTCACTTATACTGTGTTTAGCTTGGCGGCATTTTCACATTTTCAATAGTTTTCATAAAATTGGAAAAATGCTCCAGTGCATAAGCAGTCTAAACGCACTTGGCTAAACATTTGTACCAGAGTGGCGCTCAGACTGTGCTTAGCCTGGGTAATTTTTTGAATTTTTAATCCAACATTACCAAAATATATTATGGAAAATAAAACAAGATGTAATAATTTTTTATCTTCAAAAGCAATTGTTTTGTCAATACAAGCAGAAAGTTTTTTAGATCATTCAAATCCGATACTCCGTTCTCTCAAAAACTGCTATTTTTTGCACATGCAGCTTCGTATTTCCGTAACGGCTGGACCTGTCTTTGCCAAATAGTAATCACCACTTCTCCCAATCATTACAAATTGAATGTTTTTTAGATCATTCAAATCCAATACTCCGTTCTCTCAAAAACTCGATTTGTATTTTCTGCACTCTTTGCTCTTTATCTCCGTAAGTGCTGAACCTGCCTTTGCCAAAAACTAATCAGCACATCTTTCTATCAATAGGGATCGAATGTTTTTTAAACCATTCAAATCGGTTGATCCGTGCGCCCGAAAACGTGGACGAAAAAGTGCGGACATACAAAACACACACATCCATTAGTTTTCTGAGATATGCCAAAATGTTCAGAAACCTTCCAAACGTCGAGAAATGCAAAAATTTTCATTTTCGATTTTCGGGCCATTACTATAGCTACCTTACGGGAAGTTAATAATATATGAAGAGCCAATTTTCACACATTACTCCAAACTTTTAACAGAAATCCAATATTGCTTATCGGAAGGAAGGAAATTTCTTTTCCAGGAAGGAAATTTCCTTTTCAGGAAGTAATTAACTTCCCGTAGGGCAAGTTATAGTAATCGCAAAAAAATCGAAAATGAAAATTTGTATATATCTTTACGTTTCAGAGGTTTCTGAACATTTTGGCATACCTTAGAAAAAATGGATGTATGTGTGTGTGTGTGTGTGTGTGTGTGTGTGTGTATGTGTGTGTGTATGTATGTATGTATGTGTGTGTATGTATGTGCGGATACAAATTTTCGTCGACGATTTCGGGAACACGGGTCAACCGATTTGAATAATTCAAAAAACATTCGATCCGTATTGATAAGGAGACGTGCTGATTAGTTTTTGGCGAAGGCAGGTCTAGCCGTTCCAAAGATAAGGGGCAAAAAGTGCCGAAAACGGTAGCTCAGTTTTTGAGAGAACGGAGCGTCCGATTTGAATAATTCAAAAAACATTTCACTTGTATTGACAAGATGAAGAATCGATAAAATTTTCATGAAGGTAGGTTTAGCGGATTCGGAGATATGGAGGAAAAAGTAAAAAAATGAGCCATTTGGCGGTCAAAAATGATCATTAGACATATGCTCATAAAATTATCAGATATTTTATAGAGATTTTAACAATAAGTATACAATTTGTTAACATTTCTATGGGTTCCGTACCAATGCTTATGCTTTAGACAGCGACGCGGCGCTTACGCGCTTTATATTTTGTCCCTATGCAGTTAAAGCAGTACGATTGATTGCTTTGAAAAGAAAGTTCAGATCTTCCACAATATGTCAAAATAAAATAAAATTTTTTTTCAAAAAAAAAAAAATTAGAAAAAATTTTTTTTCAAAAAAAAGTAATTTTTTGTCCAATTTATAGTTTCTCAAAAATCTTATTTTTTCAAAGTAATTTTTTTTTCAAAAATGTTAATCGTTTTTAAAAAATAATAATTTTTGGTACGGGAAGTTCCAGCAATTTGCCTTAAGGCACGATGCCTTAATTGCCTTAAGACAGAATTCCACTTACAGCTAGTTTTTCTTTTTAGCGACTTAATCTGCGGAAGTGGATTTGCGGATTTGCGCCCTTTCTACTTCCCTTAATAAAGTATGAATATACCTTGATTGCCTCCAGGTCATCATATTGTCATCTTTGTCTTTAACATGCAAAACGTGACACAGGCAATAATTGATTATTATTTGACATATAAATGACAATAGACAGGGTGCCATGGATAATTGGCAATTAACGTTTAATTAGACTTGCTAAACCTAAATTCTTATTGATTAAGATGATTATTTACCTATATTTAGTACGTAAGACAAAATTGTACTTTTTATGCATATTTTTAACTTCCCGAAGGAGAAGTTTTTGTTTCCATCAAAAAATTCGATTCGCTAATTTTACGTTTTCTCGACGTTACAAGCCATTCTGAATCGAATGAGAACAAATTTGGAAAAAGTATGTGTGTGTGTGTGCGTGTGTGTGAACAGATTTTTGGCCGTAAATCGACATTTTCTCAAAAGCTGCTGGACCGATTTCAAAAATTAACAGGCCATTCGATGTATTTCGATGAGGACTAACGTTTCTGAGTTTTGTGTGACGATCGGCCAAGCCGTTTCTTTGTAATCCGCAGAAAAGTGAAAAATTTTTCGTCCACGTTTTAGCCCGCAATTCTGAACTGATTATGAAAATTCAAAAACCGTTCGAAAGATATTGGTTGGGAATCGTGCTAATTAGTTTTTGATACAGATCGGCCGGGCCTTTTTCTTGTTATAGAGTGTTAAAAAAAAATTCGGCGATTTTCATGATTATTTTTTTGACGGTAGATGCCATAGTCTTCTAGATCATACTAAAATATTACAGCCCTACGACAACTCGTTTAGCTTTAAAAATTCATCAAAGTTTGCAAAAGTTGGTATCGTTTTTTGGCATTCGTCAAAATTAGACCTTTCATCGATGTTTACTCAAAAACGCCTAAACCGATTTCAAAAATTTAAAAGCCATTTGATGTATTTCAATGAGGACTATCGTTTGTCAGTTTTGTGCGACGATCGGCCCAGCCGTTTCTTTGTAATTTGGGAAAAAGTGTTAAACTTTTTGTCCACATTTAAGCTCATTATACCGAACCGATTTTTAAAAATCAAAAACTGTTCGTAAGATATTAGTTGGGACTAAAACTGATTAGTTTTAGGTGGAAATCTACCGAGCTGTTTTCTTGTAATTAACTGTTGAAAAAAAAAAATTAATCCGATTTTCATGGAACTTTTTTCGACGATAATTATCATGGTTTTTTAGAACTTACTAAAATATTACGGCCCTACGACAACTAGTATAATTTCAAAAATGTATCAAAGTTTGAGAAAGTGAGTAGTTTTTTGACGTTGGTTAAAATTAAAATTAGACTATTTACTTGGTATAACGATAAAGTACTTGGTCTTAATGAACATACTAAACAATTAAAGTCCTACGGAAACTGAATAAATTATGAAAATTATTGATTTTTGAATATTTGCTTTAGAAAATACTCCGAGCTAACTCCGAGTTCCTTTTCAATTTTGTATAATAAATCCAGTCGGAATACTTTTAATCACTCATAAATTAATTTATTTATTATTGATTAAGTCGATTATTTACACATATCGGGAAGTTCAGTTAACTTGCCTCAAGGCAAAATACCAATACCAACTAGTTTTATTAACAATCAATAAATTTTAGAATTTTAATTATTTTATTGCACTAAATTAAATATCGCAATATCTAATTTGTGAAAATTAGTATTAAGTCGCAGTATTTCATTTTTTAAGCATAAATATTACGTTTTGTTTAATGTAATAATAATAAAGAAATTAATAATGAAGAGTTGTTAAGGAATGACACCTTTAAAATATTTATATGAAATACCTTTAATATACTTACATGAAATCGCGATGTCTTTTTTCTAATATTTACAAATTAAAGCTTAAAATTTAAGAGAACTTTTTCACAATATTTTTTAAGTAGATTTTTGATCTCAATATTAGAAATTTATACTTGCTGTAGTACTTAATATATAAAATAAAAATCACCATATCTTTCTTCATATTTATAATTAAATTCGTAAATTTTTTACTTACGTGTTGGGTCCAATCCACGTTGGCCCTTGACCAGGGAACATTTTTGTTTGATGCCAGAATTGGCCTTTGTTGGTGGCCAACATAGTAAGGAGTCCCAAGTCCAATTGCAGAACAAACCTGAGAAAAAAAATACAAAAAATAATTTAATTTAAAATGAGAATCTGGACTTAGTTGCAAAAACTATACGATGAGCTTTCCTGTTGAACAGGGTGATAGTGGGTTGAGAGAGATCTTCTCCTTTTGGTCTTTTTGGGTCAATTATTTCGTTTATTTTAAATTGTTGTAATTGCATTTATCAATTTCTAAGAATAAAACACAAAGCCATCGATCATCTCTGTAAAGGAAATGAGTTTATGTCGCCTTTGGAGAAAAGCCCGAAGCCTTTTCTGTTTACATTGCGAGACAGGCGTGATGTTTCTGGGTAAATAAATTGTCAATCATCTAATGTAAACATAAAATGCATGTATGTATACATTAATAAGATACATAAATCTATAACTTAATATATAAGTAGTGGTGTATGGCATTGTGCCTTAAGGCAAATTGCTTGAACTTCCCGTACCGTAACGAAATGTTCGAGGACTATTAAACGTTTTCAAAATAATTATTATAAATAAATACTGTAACATTGTCTAATATTTATTATAAGAATTATATAAACTGAATTGAAATGTTGAAATTATTTGTTTAAAGTATATTAGAACTTCAGTCAGAATTAAAATTAAAATCTGAATTATTTTCGATATAGAAAAGAACATTTTTGGAAAAAAATCAAATATTTTTTATCCAAAATATTTGTTTTGCCAACACAAACAGAATGTTTTTTGGATCATTCAAATCGGATACTCCGTTTTTTCAAAAGTTCGGTTTCTATTTGTTGCACACTTTTCTTCATATCTCCGCAACGGTTGGACCTGCCTTTGCCAAAAACTAATCAACACATTTCCCTATCAATAATAATCGATTGCTTTTTTAATTTTTATCCATACGGGTGAAAACTTTTCCTAAGGTATGCAAAAATTTTCATTTTCGGCTCATTACTATAACTTACCCTATGAAAAGTTAATAAAAATTTTGTATCATGATATTTGTTGCAAAACTGCGACTTATTATGCACTTTAAACATGACTGAGAATTGGCCAATAACTTTTTTTCCATACCTTTAAATGGAAAAGTTCGGGCACAATTGAGATTTTTGTTACAGTTTTTGAACCAATTTCATTTATCTTACATATTTCACATATAGCCCTATGTCACCCTCCTACAACAAACCCTTATTTCTCAATAGTCATATCAGTAATCGAATAATTTTACATACAACAAACCGTATAGTAAACCCAATAAATTGAAAATGACATCTTTCGTGTTTTTAGGTTTCAAAACCTTCTGAATATTTTCGTATACCTTAACAAAAATGGGTGCATGTGTGTGTGTGTATGTATGTAAATGTTTATTCAGTTTTTGAGAGAACGGAGCTTCCGATTTAAATGATTCAAAAAACAAATTTTGTATTGACGAAACAAATTTTTAAAAAGGCAGGTCTAGCGATCTCGGAGATCCATAAAAAAAAGTAAAAACAAATGCCATTTGGCGGACAAAAATGATCATTATACATGTGCATATGAAATTATAAAATATTTTTTAGAGATTTTAATAAGAAGAACAATGCTTTAGAGATCGGCGAGGATCTATGCGCTTCTATATTTCAACTCTAAAACAATTAGTATTAAAAAAAGTTAAAATAATTCAAAAATTTCAAAATTTACAAAAACATTTTTTAAAAAATGTGATTTTTCAAAAAAAAATTTTTCTGTTTTCAAAAAAAAAATAGTTTCTGGAACGGAAAGTTCCAGCAATTTGCCTCAAGGCACGATGCCATGCACCACTAGTTTTATTTTTGATAATGCATTATTGAAAAATACATACAACCCTAAATTTTCATTCTTTTTCTATTACTCCTCTAGTAATTATATTTTGATGCAATATTTTATTTTTGATATTCAAAAATTGCACAAATAAATATTTTTATTCAAATTATGCTTTTTTTAAGTATTCATTCTAATTTTCTTAATTATATGAGATTATTATATTATAATTACAAAGGGTTTAGGATTATCTTTTTCCTAATTGGCTAATTAGTTAATTTTCATGTAATTAGTAAAGTATTTCCTCTTAACAATATAACAAGGATTAATTTTTAATTGGGACAAAAGTCACCTTCTAGGTAAAGTGCTCAGAAATTTAGGGTTAAGAGCCTAGTCAATATATACTAATTAAATTAAGTGTAGGTGGCATTTAGCACTGTTGGAAATTTGCATGAACCATGAGGCCATCTACAAATTGCTACAAAAAACAACTTTAGAATTTAATATAAATGTATCATTTGTATTAGCAGGTAAATTATGCTCGACAGAGGAAGGAGGTTTTTTAATCCTAGTAAAGAGTTTTTTTTTTGTTTTTTATAAATTTAATTTATTTCACATCTCATATACACCTAGTTTACATGATTCTTACCATCTTGTGGAATTATATAATCGTGGTATTGCAAAATGCAATCTTCTGCAGAAGAACTGTCGAAGGATAAAATCACCTCTGTGAAATCCATTTCAGGTCTTTTGTTTTAGAAAATCAGCCCATATCTGAAATGAAAAATTAAACAGGATAAAAAACAAAATTTAAAATTGAAGCCAGTAACAATTTTATATAATTTATAGTTTGTATTAGAAGACAATTTGATGCAAGTTGAAAGTATTCAATATTAATCAATAAGACTTCAGATTTACATAATAACTCAACAATGGAAATTTGAACTTTTGACTAATTCTTGAAGATATTTTCCATTTATAGATTCCAACTTTTAGATGCAGAATGATGCAATTCGCAGATTTCTATAACTTCATATTTATATTAAATTGTAAATATACAACACATTTTTATCTGTACAAACACTATCGAAGTATTTTGTGACGAACTTTTGTAATATAAATTAGCATTAGCTATATTTTTTATGTTTTCAGAAGCAGAATGCTGTAATTTGCACAAATCCTAGTTTTATAGATATTTTAAATAAAAAGAATATTAAACAGAACATTATATACTGTGGCCTTTAGTCTTGTATTTAGGAACTTTGAAGACAATTTTTTTACTTTTAATTACAAATTAAATTGACTGCAACTGCGGTCATTTTTGGCGACCGCCAGGGTTATATGTATATATATATATATATATATATATATATATATTATATAATGTATAATTATTCGGATTGGAATTAGCGAAGGTCTTGTAAACAAAAATGAGATTTTTATTGTTTCACGTAAGCAAAGCCGACGGACGCCTCACTTTTGTTTACACGATTTTAAATTTAAATTAGCGTTTTATCAAAATGTAAACAACTTTATGTATATATATATATATATATGCATATATATTTAAATATCAGTAGCATTATTTATAAATTCAAGATAAAAAGATTAAAGTTATTTAAAGAATTTTTGTCAACAGTCGAAATAATTTCATACAATGCCACAGCTTTTCATCCATACATTCTGGTTGATTTTTTAAAAAAGCACTAGAATCCTCTCCAATATTCAAGACGACTTTTTTTGCGGTCCAAAAGCATTTTGAAAGAGTATTCAAGGTCATAGTCAAGGACGAAATGTCCTACACGTTTTCTTTAGCACTTGCTTCAAATATAAAACTAAATTAAAGTACTAAACAAATCAAGTACTAAACCTAAAAACCTTATAAGTAGAAAATTAGAGAACAAAAGCAAGTTTGCATGCATGTATGTTTTGAATATTTTTTAAATATTTTTTAAAACTTAGCATTATAAATCAGATATTTCAATATGACATTTGTTAATACATAATACAATACAATAATAAAAAATCATACTTTTCTAACAAATTTATATTTTTAGTGGACAAATGCACGATTCCATGGGACGATATGTAGACTCTACATGTAGTGTTATTTAAATATAGTTTAAAAATTATAAAAAATTGAATTGGGATGCTGAAATTTTAGTATGACATTCTTTAATACATATATTAAATTTAAAAAATATCAAATTATATACTTTTTCAACAAGTATAGTTAAAAATTAGCAATGTACGTTTGCATAAACGATACATAACAATTTTAATGATACATTACAGTTTTAACGAAGGATGTGTAGTGTGTTATTTAAATATATTTTAAAAATATAAAACTTTAAATTAGGATGCTCGTATTTGAGTACGACATTAGTTAATACATATATTAAATTTAAAAAATATAAAATTATATGCTTCTCTAACAAATTTAGCTAGAAATTAGCAATTTAGTGGACGAATGCACATTTGCATGGGCGATACTTAACAATTCTAAAGTACGATACGTACAGTGTTATTTAAATATATTTTAAAAATATAAATCTCAGTATTTTAACTCTGATATTTTAGTACAACATTTGTTAATACATTTGTTGAATTTGAAAAATACAAAATTATATACTTTTTTAACAAATTTAGCTAGAAATTATCAATTTAGTGGACAAATGCACAATTGCATGGGCTATACTTATATGAATATAGTTTAAAAATATAAAACTCTGAATTAGTACATTGATATTTTTGTATAACATTTTTGAATACATATATTTAATTTAAAAAATACGAAATCGTATACTTCTCTAACAAATTTAGTTAGAATTTAGCATTTTAGAGGACAAAAGCATGTTTTCATAGACGATACAATTGTAACGAACGACATGTAGAGTGTTATTTGAATATATTTTAAAAATATAAAACTTTGAACTAGGATGTTGGTATTTAAATATGACATTTTTCAATACTTGCATTGAATTAAAAAAAAATTAAATTATATTCTTTTCAAATAAAAGCTAGAAATTAGCAATTTAGTGGACAGATGCAAGTTTTCATAGACGATTCATAACAATTTTAACGAACGATATGTAGAGTGTCATTTCAATTTTAAAAATATAAAACTTTAAATTATGACTCTGATATTTTAGTACGACATTTGTTAATACATTTGTTAAATTAAAAAAATATAAAACTATATACTTTTCAAACAAATTTATCTACAATCAGGAACCGATTCGAACTATATAGTATAAAAATATTTAGGTCAAAGCGCATATATAAATTATGTTTTGTTATTTATTATTATTATATATAATTTATAACTATTAATAATTTGCCAAAATACAAGATTATAATCCGAATAAAATCTTTTTTTTTTATTGCTACAGGTAGTTTTCCGTAAAAACAATGTTATTAATTTACTTAAACAAAAAACCGGGAGTTGTAAATCATAACTTTTTTATCAGACGGATTTAAAAGAAAAAAATGATAACGTTGTGATTTATTTAACCTGGGGAATAATATAAATGGTAATATATATATATATATATATATATATATATATATATATATAAATATATATATATATATATATATATATACATTTCTAAACCGCCTTCGTTTGATATTTTAATGAACGCTTGCAAATTCGTTATACATTATATTATAAAAAGCTTTTCATATTTAATATTAGATACGTTTTGATATCTAATTAGACTCATTTTACTGCTATATATACAAATAAAAGGCACTATATATAAAAATAATAATCAATTATTGAGAAAAATTGTACAAAGACATTAATATTGTTTTGAACAATTTTGCAATTACACATTTATATAGCATAAGTTTTTGTATTTACTTATTATAAATTTTTAACAATATTTTATTTCGTACTATATCCAATTATTTTTTTAACTATTTCATATATTTTAGACATTCCTTGAATTTTATATTAATTATGCTAAATGTTCACGTTTATTATATATAGTTTATGTTTAATACATTTTTTAAAATTATTTTCGCATTAATGAACTGAAGATGAATCGGATGCACACCCGAAACGTATGCAAAATTCTAAGCCCTCCATTATATTTGTTTGAATATAATATTTTTCTGGTTTTAATTAGATAACGACTGTAAATTAAAACGTAACATAAAGTGAAAAAAAGATATTAAAACATCAAGTTTGAAACAAATTGAGGAATAACTAGAATAAATAATTAAAAATAATAAATTTATAATACAATATTTGTTCATTACTAAAGATGGATCAAATGTATACTCGAAACGTATGCAAGACTTTTAAGACATTTTTTTGATCTTGATAATTCCTTCTTTTAATAATATTTGAATGACAAGTGTGAATAACAATATAATATCAAGCAAAAGGATTTTTAAGTATATGAAAACGGTATATTTTACCTACGTTTCGATATATAATTTTATATCATAATCAGCAAATATGAATAATTCGGTTTAAGAGCCAATATGTAATACATGAATCAATAATAACTATATATTAAAGGCACCAATTTGGCATTAGTTAGTACTACTAAAACAGTCATTAATATAGGAATTATTAATTAGCTACTAAAGTTGTAATTACTTATGATGATACTGAATCATATGACACGAAATTTGTAATACTTTAATGACCAAATGAAATTTAATCGAAGTTAGAAGTAATAGTTTCTTCAAATTATTTAAAAATAAATAGAGGAATTATTAATTAGCGACTAAAATTGTAATAACTAATGATGATACTGAATCATGTGATACGAAATTTTTAATACTTTAGTGACCAAATAAAATTTAATCGAAATTTGAAGTAATTGTTTCTTCAAATTATTTAAAAAAAATCTTTTTAATTTCTAATATCATATATATATTAAATTGAAAACAATTAAATTTAATTTAAAAAAAATCATATATATATTGTTGAATGATGACACCCAATCCGTCAAATCCGTCAAATAAAATAAATATTTTTATTTATTTGTACTCTTTTATTTCGACGATTAGCTGAGATATATATATATATATATATATATATATATATAATCCTCGTAATTGCATTTCTTGCAATGAATGCAATGCAATGCGATGTAATTATATTTTCAAATTAACTTTTCTCGATTTCATTCAAAATTATTAAACCACTTATAAAGTTTATTAGCAGAAAATAGAAACGACGAGTTGATTCTAGGAAATATTTTTTTTGCAGAATAAAAATACACGGAATAAAAATATCATGTGACGAAAATATATGGAACGAATACTTTTTAATATACTGGGTATCCCAGAACTCAACGTCACATAAGAAAATTGATAAGAAAAAAATTGATAAGAAAAAAATAGAAAAAAATCGATTTTTTTGGCAATTATGAGCTTTTAAGTGCAATCTAGAGCTTTCGTGATAATATGACCATTTTTCGGTTATTGTGGTTAATTTTTATTAATTTCATACATTTGAACTTTAGGTATGTAACCGTGAATAACATTTCTAAGACTACAGTCCAAAATAATGACAAAATTGCCCCAACTCTCAAGTTTTCTAGAATTAAGACTTTTTGTTCAATTATAAATTTGAAATTTTTTAAAATCAGTCGACTTTGAAAGGACTTCGTTTTATAAACAATATACTAAAGTGTGTTGGCAAGTTTTATTAAAAGTTGGCGCATTTAATCAGGATTCTAAAATGGTGAAATACTTGATACTTGATAATTTTATTGAA